GTTTGCGCGGCTCGCTGCCTCTCTCGCGACGAATACGGACGACCCAACAGCTCGCGGTCTCTGCGGATCACCTCACGCGATCTTCTCACGCTGTGGGCGCGCTCTTCCGCTTCCGCTTTTGCCCGCGAGTCGTGCTTGCGGACGCGGCTCGCGGACGCCGTGTTTCTGTTTATGCGCGCCCTCATCCCGCCGTTTCCTCTCATTGCCGTCGTCGTAAAGGCCCGAAAATCTCACGCGGGCGGACGTGTTTGCGCCATCGGCCCCCTTACGAGTTACGGGCATATGTAAATCAATATATTTGTAAATTATTTTTTTTGTGCTTTTTCCGCGGTGCGACCCGCATTTTTTATTATTTTTTCTTTATCTTTATCCTCGCTTACTTGTCAGTTGATTACAGAACATACACTACTAGATCTATTGTTTAACGCGCTTGTGTGTGTTTTTTTTTGTTTCGTTACCTTTCGTTTAAATTTAAAATTATGGTACACGTTCGCGGGGCACGGGCCGGCGCCTCGGGAATTCTTCCTTCTCGCGCGGGGATGTGTGCTTTAAATTGCCGTCGGGGGAGGGCCGCGGATCCGAGGACCCGACAGCCCGCCGATCAGCCATCACGTAGGTTTACTCGTTTAAAAAAGCAACCCTCGGCGCACGGCAGGATGCACCGGTCGAAAACAGTCGTCTGTCAATCGTTTCATGACCGCGATCATCATGAAGGATCTCGACGTAGTGGTAGTGGTGGTGTTTTGTATTGTTGTTGTTTTATCAAAAATTTTTTGTGATGGTGATAGTGAGATAGTGGTAAATAGTAACGCTGATGTTCGTCTCTCTTTCCATTTTCTCTCCGTTTCTTTTTCGCTCTTTCGCGCTCTTACTACCCGTTTCGTGCACCGTTCTCGGTACCTCTCGACGCTGTTGTACTACAGGGACCGTGAAAAATGAAATTGCGTCTCTTGGAAATTCCTACTCGACTGAAATCTATCGTTTGCGATTACCAACGTGAATTTTCATTAATCTGCATTTCGTTCGCGCGACACGTGCTAACAGCTTTGCCTAACTAAGCTTTTGTCATTCGCTCCGTCGTTCATTCTCACGGTTATTTCTCTTTCTCTCTTTCTCTCTGCCGAATCTATCAATTTCGCACTCCCATTCTCTCCCAGATGTACTCAAAGCTCTCTCTCTCTCTCACTCTCAATTTCGTGCAGCACGTTCGCACTTTTCGCATAGAAGCGCTCCAAACTCACGCCACGCCGACTCATCGTGACGTATGTCTCAATACTAGCGAGTTTCCTCTGTGTTTGTGTTCATTCTCCGAAAAACAAGACGCGATTGTCCGGCAAGAAAAACTCCGCGTAAGAAAAATTCGGTCCCTACGGTGCTGCGGGCGCCGATTGGTGCGAGTGTGCCAAGATTGCGTTTAGGTATTGCGTGTGTTCCTATCGTAGCTGTACAATCCATCGCAATGCCGTGTGTGGTATGTGATGAGTGTGTGTGCGTGTAAATGTGTATCAGTGTGTCGGAGTATCGGTGTCGAGAAAAAAAAAGAATTTCCCGATCGGTCATGTCCGGGAGACGGTGAACGCTGCCGCGCGATCCCTCCCTCGCAAGGATGAAAAATCCCGGATCCTCTGGCGAGGGTGCCGGAAGGGCCGAGGTCGGGGGTGAGGCGGAAGCGATCGCCGATCGTCAGGCATGCACCGACAACGAACAGAAGCTCTGGTTCGATAAGAAACGATTATCGTTGGTTGCGTGAACGAGGTGTATGCACTCGCCCAGCTTTAGGTATTTACATAGAAACTAACCCTATTTCGCATTATGTACGTTCGTTTAAGTTTACCAGTAAATTCTCAGTTTATGCTTGTGATATCAAGGTGTATTTACATACTACTTAATCCGAGGAAAAAACGCCCTGTAACGCAAAAACTTCTTTAATAAGAACGATCAATGAATCGACCCGCGGTCACGATCGCTGGAACTCGAGGCGGCCCCCGCGCGACGTCTTTCTTCCGCGAACGAAAGACAAATCCGAGAATCATAAAGTTCCTCTCAATTCGAGTCGAATTCCTCCAGCTTGATTCCCCAATCGATCGATCCTGACTTGAGATTCTCATTCGAGAGAAAGTCGCTAGATTGTTTGTTTGTTTTTTTTTTTCTTCTTCTTTTTGTTGAGAGAGAATTGCTTTTCGAAAGAAAATTTGCCGGAGACGTGGCCGTCGAGTTCCAATCGCGAGGCGAGTGCGATCGTTAAATGTAGCTTTGACGATGAATCCTTTAGCGATCTTTTCTTCTCTCGTCCCAGATGGTCAAAAAGCCTGGCTACCCGGCGGCTTCTCGGCGCGTGTCTTTTACGTTCAACGAAGATGACGACGTTAGGTTACTTTCGTAATTGGCGAACAAAGGGCCATGAAAGAGGGAAGGGGTCGGTCATCGCGAAAGGGAATAGATGATTCGCGTTCTTTCTCTTTTGCGATAATTTCTCCAGAGCTCGTCTCGTCTGGAAGACACGATTTCCAAAACGTAGCGAGAGAAAAAATTTTATCGATTGTATTTCGTAGGTAGTGATTTAGCGTGTCTGACGAAATTTTGCCAAGTCTCGATTGCGATTGGAAACAAGAATGGGATGGGGTGGCTCGGATGGAAAAGTAAGGGGGAAGGCGATGGCCGGGGTGTGTCTCGGGAAAACGAGCCGGTCAGGAACAAAAAGGTCTCGTACGAGAGTTTTCGAGAGAAAACAACAACAACAACAACAGTAACGCGGTCGATGTTAACGTCCAGAGGTATGTGAACAAATTCGGCACGCTACTATTCAATTCCGTAACTCTAACAGTCCGCGATTGCCAGTCGAAGAAACGACGAAATCGAAACAATCTTTTAGTCTCGCTTTTATCACGAAATCTGACTTTTTCTTTCATTTCTTTTTTCTTTTTTTGTGAACCGCCTCTTTATCTCCTTCGATTTTGACTTCTCTTTCCGGGGATCCGCGTTCTCGTTCACCAATATGAAGAAATGATTTCCGCGAGCAAACGTGAAAAAAACTCGTTTCTCTCCGATCTCGTTTCATCGCGTCTGGTCTCATCCAAAGATAACCCCATCGAAAGTACGGACAATCCATAAGTTTTGTCAAAGAGGTTCGAGGAGGGGGGGAGGGGGGCGAAGGAAGTGATCCGGCCGAGTAGGAGTAGTTCAGATTGTGATGGGGCGTCACGAAAGGGGGTGCATCTCTTTTTCGTCTCTTTTGGGAGGGCAAGGGGCTGGCTCGAGTCTCTAAAAGTTCGCTCCACGATCAAAAACCTACGGACTTTCTTCACATTCTTCCTCTCCCTCGTCATCCTCATCTTCGTATCTTGTTTTATTTCGTTTGTTTTTTTTTTTTGTTCATCCACCCTCTTTATTCCTATTCGTCTTCTTCTTATTCTTCTTCATCCTAAGTATTGCGAGAACGTAACGGTATATTGCAAGTAAAAGTTCAAAACGACGCAAGAGTTTTACGCGTTCAGATTATATTACCCGGAAATAAAAAAATATTTCGCTTATAACGATCACAGGACCTCAGATTACCTGAAGCACGCCACTCTAAGTCTCACTCTCGTCTCGCATTCGCTCTTCCTTGATGCTCACGAAGCATTCACATTCGCTCGGTCTTTTGCACATTCGCACAACGGCGCGCCCGCGCACCTACGCCGATCCCAAGGTCGTGCATTCGCAAAATCGTCCACGTACTCTTCCTTTCTCTCCCTCTCTCGCACTCTTTGTTCCTTTCTCTCAGTGTCTCTTTCGCTTCCACACACGTCTCTTCTGGTTCGTTCTGCACAAACGTTGCCCGCATTCTCTCGTCGACTATGCTTGGGATCGCGTAAAACTCACGAGGGCGCGCTCCGCATTCGCTCGTATTTCCCTTTCGCCTAACTATCCTAGTCTCATAGACCCTATATTCATTATTTATAATATTTATATATAATATATATATAATATATTTAGCATTTAGTTTTTTTTATTTCTCTCTTCATCTTCGTCGCGTGTTTGCTCACGAAAAATGCTAGCTCTTTCACGCTTACCATCTTGTTTCTCCTCAGTTTAAACGTGTAAGTGTGAATGGGTTTCGCCCGTTCGTTCTTTCTTTTTTTGTCTCTGTGTCATACTCTTCTCATACTCTGTATGTATATATAATATATATAATATAACTGTTTGTAATAACTATATTTTGTTTGTTCGCTTATGAGCTAATAGTTTTTGTGCTACCGACGAGCACAAGTTGCGCGCATTTTATCTTCACTTTAATGTGTGCTGCTGATGAGTCCTTGCAGTATGTGTGTATATTTATTGTACATGTACGTGTTCCTCTCTGTGTACGTATGTATACTTGGGTGGTTGTGTGTACGTATGTATATGTGTGCGTGTGTACGTGTGTGCGTACGCGTATCTGTTCCGACGTTACGTCCGACGTTCGTTTCTCGCGAAATGTCAACGTAGCTTTGCCGTAGCTTTTGCGAAAACGTTGCAGTCGCAGGTGAGAACGTCCGTGCGTCCGTACGTCGCGTTCGTCTGTCGCACACACACACACACCGGGGAAGGGGATTTCGGTACGTATATAATTAACAACCGTACACGCGGCGGCACGATCGCCACCGTCGGATGTGTGGCTCGTTCGCCGCGACCGCGCGACGCACCACGTCTGAGCCTGCGTAACGTGGACGCGTTTGTGTTGCGATCCGCTCTCAAGCATTACGGGAGTTTTAAGATTAGGTCTTTT